TGCACCCTGGAGAGAGGGGGACATTACACCATGAGTTCTGATTCATGGACTCTTGGCCAAGCCCTTCATGAGGATGAGTTGGCAGGGAACATGTAGGAGGTGACATGATGCTCCTTTGAGTTAATCATGCCTTAGGCACAACTATTTCAAAGGCACTTTACTGTGCATGTGGGAACCTCTGAGAAAATGCAACAAGAGCATTCAACATCTTAATCTCACCCCGGAGCCATCTCTATGTTCAGATAATACAGGGCAGACTCAGCTGCCTGTGAACTCGACTGTTATAGAACATTCACCCTATGTTTTGGCTCCCCCTGCCATATGGCAATAGCTACTTCCTCTATTATTACAGATGTAAGTGTGATACCCCTGTTGGGGAGAGGAGAGTTGGCAGCAGTAGAGATTGGATCTTTTTGCACAAGCTCTACTGCTTGAACCAAAAGACTCGGCTCTATTTGTCATAGCTGTTGGCACTCATCCTCTTTTCCATGCAGCCCAGTCAGTACTATGGACTATATGAAAGTCCTGGAAATAGATGCCCACAGTTAACGGCCCTGGTTCCAACTGATTATAGGAGGACAACAAAGGAGATAACAGGAACAGGAGTGGGATCGAAGGTTGAAAAAAAATCAAAGAACCAGACGGATGCTAAGCAGAGAACCCAGGACCGTGCCCACGGCTCTTCAAATGCATGCAAGGAGTCAGTGGGCATTGCCCAGAAGAACTTTCCCAGAGACGTGAGTGGAAGAGGGACCAGAAATAGGTCCTCCCGTTGCAGCACACCCCTTCTCTAGTACAACTTCCTCCTCCTGGCGTGATGGAGGGCCAGTTTGGTCAGCACCAGGAGGTGGTTGATGAGATTCGGAAGGTATCAGAAGAGGGCTGCAATCTGACACTCCCTGCGGAGATGTGTGCCAGGGTAGTCTTATCACTGAAAAGGGGGCAGGTGTCAGAAGGGTTTGTGAAATATGCCAGGTACACACCTGGGCTCACGTTCTATGGAGAAGCCACCGGTTAATATCTCCAGCAGGCTGTGGGACCAGAGTGGAGTACAGGATACCCAGCTGCATTTCCTCACCCTCCTCTGGTAGCAATAGGACCTGCCCCTTGGTGTCAAGGTGGGACACAAAGGCAAGCAAGTGAATGGTATGAAGCACGAGCATGTACAGATGTTCTCTGGTTGTGGTTTGGAGGCAGACTGGATATGGTGCAGCTGGCACCGATAGCGTGTCTGGGATGGCCAGGCAGGAGCTAAGTTTCTCAGGGCCTGGGGTGAGCAGAGAGCACCTTCTTGAAGGGATTTGTTTGAGAAAAGGAAGGTAAGCAGGAGGTAAGGCAGCCCTCAGCTCCTGGCACACAAGACACTGGGCCCTAAGTGTGGTTGAACATCACATGTTCACCCTGCCCATCTGATTGCAGTCCCGGAGGCCTCAGAGTCTGGTGGCTCCAGCCAGAACTAATCTCCGGCACACCCGCCACCTACACACAGATGGGGTTGTGAAGCAACGTTTCTTCATTCAGCCTCCGTCATGAAACTTAGTCCCAGGAAACATTTCAGAGTTTTGGCTCATGGTCCTGATTCACTGGGGAATTCTTCTGTAAAAGTGCTAAGAGGCGCCTCTCAAGAGCTGTGGCAGCTGCAGCAAGGCCAGGCTGGACGAGAGGCACCATTGTATGACTATGGCAGGTCTGGGCTAGGTTGGGTGGGAGCCAAGGTAGGGACACATGTGCCCTGGCAGTTCCAGGTCCATGCCAGGGCTGGATCAAAGCTGGGACATCATCTGTGGCAGGTTCATGTTCAAACTGGCCGAGAGAGCCACTCTCCCGAGTGCGGCAGGTCCTTGGAGAGGCTGGCAGGGAGACGTCTCTCCCCACTGCATCTCTCCCCACTGTAGCTTTGAGCACTTGTGTGGGTCTTAATGGGCAGCTGCTTGGCCGACACAGCTTAGAGGGAACACCATCATCTCATCCACAAATTGAGACCCTGCAGTTCTGCCTGTCTAGCTGGCCCTGCATGTGGAACTTGAAGTATTTCAGAGAACGCTACCGTGGGGGTCCTGGATGAGGTTTACAGGAGCGGTCGGCAAGGGCTTCCCTTGTCGACCGATCCCCGTCTAGACTGTCGCACTGTGCCGGATCAGCTGATCGTCGGCACAGCGCGGCGGCCATTTTTATGTTAATGAAGCTGGGATTATTTAAATCATTGACTATGTCGGGTAAACTGCTTTACATGGCTCCGTCGCCGGAGCCATGTAGTCTAGATACACCCCTAGCAGCCTACATTTGCTCTCCAGAACTTCTCTCCTCTCCTTCCCTATGTCAGCCGTACCTACACGTACCACGACCGCAAAGCAGAGATTATGTAATTCAGTCATTCCAACATTGATGCCAGAGGAGCTGGCAGCTTCCAGGAGCAGAAATTATTTGGCTTGTACAACTAATCTTCACTGCCTGTGTTGTTGGTTGTGTTACTTTCTTGAATCCTGGTTTAACAAGGCAGTGTCCTTGGGGTGAACGTGTTTGTCCAGGCCACATCTTACAGCCTGTGCAAACTGGAGGCTAACGGCGTCGATCACATGCCTGCTGTTAGCCACCGGCCCTCCATGGAACTGGTTGTCAGGCTTTCTGCCTCTTAGGGTATGTTTGTGCTGCAGCTGCTCCACGTGGCTCGGTGGGCCCCAGTTCCCTCTTGCCCAACTCAGATCCTTACTCCGCACGTCTCCAGGCAAGTCGATCTCAGGCTGGCTGGCTTGTCTGAGGAGTGTGGGTATGTGGGCAGGTGAGCTGTGGCCTGGCCCATCTCCGCCCACTTTGCAGTGTGGGTGTATCCCTGAGTCAGGATAGTCCTCCAGGGCTATTCCCACAGTTCCCTGTACCCGTTTTTTCATGACCCTCTGTCACTTCCTCACTCCCCCGTGTGCACCACAAATTGCATGGCTGCAGTCTCCAAAGCACACCGCAGCTTAATGTCCACAGTCCTGTGAGCAGCCTCCCCCTCCTGCTCCCTCCTCTACCTTCCCCTCCCCTCCAGCCAGCCTCTGCTGGGCTCAGTCCAAAATGGATGCCAAGCCTGAGGGGAAAGGATTCTGAAAAGCCAACTGTGCTGGTTTTCCCCCCAAAAAATATAGAGCATGAGCCATATGGCTTATGCTGCAGCCCAGAGTCTTTAGAAAGCTCACCAGTGCAAATCAGCACTCCTCTCTATCTCCTGTTTCATGGGGGGCAGGCAGGTGGGGGGTTCCAGCACTGCGTGGATCAATCTTCTCCATCCCAGCTGAGGTGTGATTGATTTCCTTCATTTCCTCTCCCTTCCCTCTTCTCCCCCTAATCCGGTAGCTTATTCTAGGACATTTCTCATGCGGCATGAATTCTCGATGGACTTTCAGCTGACTGGGGAGTGCAAACCTGCTAGGGCCTCCCTAATAACTCGGGTCCTGCCAAATCTATGGATCATTTTGGTTAATCTCAAGGCCAGATTTTGTTTTAATTAGTCAATTCCACCATTTCAGATGTTTACATAAGAAATTTCATGGTGTTGTGACCATGGGAGTCCCGACCAAAATGGCACAATGAGGGGAGAAGGGGTGTCACAGCTTTGCCACCCTCATGTCTGTGCTGCCTGCAGAGCTGGGCTCTGAAGGCAGCTGCCAGCCACCTTTCTGAAGGTAGAAGAGGATCCCGGATGTAGAGGTGGCTCCCTGCTGTTGGGGATGCCTCAGCTGGGGGCTCCTACCTGCTAGTCCTCTGGCCAACTTTTGGTGGGAGGGCTGCCAGAAAATGAGCACCTAAAACTCAGCTGGAGCAGCAAGGGGACTAACCACCAAACCCAGGTGCCCAGACCCCTGGCAGAATGGGGAGGGACATGGACGCTCTGAGCCACAGCTGCAAAGATCAGGCAGAAGCCCTGATCCCAGGTACCCGGAGCCCTGGCAGGAGCAAGGAGGGCCATGGAAGCCCTGACCCCAACCCTAGCTGTAGCCATAGGGCCATGAGATTTGAGCCTGGGCATCCACACCCATGGCTGGAGCAGCAGCATTGTGGAGAGGCAAAATGCCTGAGCCTGGGCAGAAGCTGCAGTGCCAAAGCCCTGAGCCCAATGCCACAGCTTCTGCCACAGCTTCTGCAGAGAAGAAATGAAGCTGCACTACCCTCACTTCCATGCTGCCTCTGGCGGTGGGTCTGATCTCCGCACCAAGAGCTGCTGTGCAGGGAAAGTCAATTAGGAGGACCCAGCTGTGGTGCTCCTGGCTGGGGCATTCTCAGCAGTACATGGAGATTGGATTTCAGGGGGCATGGCTAACTTCCCTGCCTGTGACACACAGTTCACTGCTGTGAAATTGGAAGAGCCCCGGCTATAGACGTAGATTGAGAGGTGGCTTGATGATGGTGTAGAAGTACCTTTGAGGAGGGAAAATAACAGGTACCAAAGTGCTCTTCAATCTAGCCAGGAAGGGCACCTCCAGAGCAAACAGTTGTCACCTGAAGCCAGAGAAATTCAAATGAGAAATAAGGCACAAAGTGAGGGGGACTAACCAATGGAGCCAATTACCCAGGGAAGATGTGGAGTCTCTGTTTCCTGATGTCCTCACATCTCAACTGGTTGTCTTTCTGGAAGGTGTGTGTAAGTGAATTTTATAATTGATATTGGCTTAATTTTGGCGTAAGTGTGTGAAATTGCATGGCCTGTGAAGTAGAGGCCAGATTAGGAGAGCTAACAGCTCAGCGTGGGGCGAGGAACAGACTCTGGTGCTTTACTGGGTAGCCCGCTTGCTCCCCCAAATCAATAATGAGCAGTTGGGGTTATCTGGGGAGCAGCTCAAACACCCAACCGGGCTGGTCTGGGGCAGGCATCAGCCCTGCAATGGAAAGGTGGGTGTGGCAGGGACTTCACAAGGGCCTTCGGCAAACTCAGCCTATTGGTCAAAAGCGGTGAGGAGCCTGTGACCTCACAGAGCTCTCTTGACATCAGCCAGGCAAATCAGAGGGGTGGGGCAGAAGAAACCTCGGAGACCCTTGTAGCCTTGCTGCAGCAAGTCTCCTTCTCACTGCCACTCTTTGAGGGCTTCATTGTGAGTCTTTGCCAAGCTGTGTGGATTGTGCTGAAAGTAGACACCATGTGTGCAGAAGATAAGATTCTCAGCGAGGCTGGGAACCTCTTCAGTCTGGGCCAGGCCTTGCCAGCTGAGCTCTAGGCTTGGAAAACACAAGGTAAGTTGGCAGGAAAATGTCCCATTGAAATAGTAGCTGGCTAATTAATAGGTCTCCAAATAGATTTGTACATGAGGAATCATTATCGGGCGAGATGGGTCCTGCAGGGATCAGTTGGTTCTTGGCACTCTGCTATTTAACATTTTTAAACAGTGACTTGGAAGCAAATACAAATCATAATGCCAAAAAAACTGCACATGACAGAAAGATTGGGGAAGTGGTAAATAACGAAGAGGATGTGTCACTCACACGGAGCTATGTGGGTTGCTTAGCAAACTGAGCACAGGAAGCAACAGGCCTTTTAGTATGTCCTAATGTACAGCTATATGTGCAGAGACAAAAAATATAGGCTCTGTGTACAAGGTGGGGGACTCTATCCCGGGAAGCCATGATCCTGAAAAGGTGGGGTCATGGAGCATAATCATCTGATTATGAGCTCCCAACGGGACACTGTGGACAATGGGGCAAATGCGACCCTGGGACTCATCTATACCAGAATGTTGTTAGAAGTAGAGAGGTTCTAGATCTCTGTACAGGGCACGAGTGGAATATTGTGTCCATTTCTGGGGTCCACAATTTGAGACAGATGCTGATAAACTGGGGAGGGCTCAGAAAAGAGCCACATGAGTCACTAAAGGATTGGAAAACATGCCTTGTGGTGACAGAGTCGAGCAGCTCAATCTATTTAGCTGACCAGAGAGAAGGTGAAGGGATGAGCACAAGGGAACAAATATTTAACTGACGGGCTCTTCACAGTAGCCGATGCAGGTTAGCAGAGAGTGGCTGCAAGTTGAAGTTTGAGCAATTCACACTGGAAATAAGGGAACATTTTTAGCTCTCAGGGTTTGGAGCAATTTACCCAGTGTTGTGATGCAGCCTCCGCAACCGGCATTTTGTAAAATCAAGATGGGGGAGGAGTTGTTTCTAAAAAATCGGCTCTCGTTTTCATAGGAATTCTTTAGCGGGAAGTTCTCTGGCTTGTATTAAACAGAAACTCAGTCTACATGATCAGAGTGGCTCCTTCTGGCCTTGGAATTTACGAATCTGTGACTTGCTGGGGGAACTTAGAATGTGTCGTTTTCTGCCTCCTTCTTCCTGCTACCCTCCTTTCTCTCCTCTTTTTTCTTGTTCCATTCCTCTCCTACCTGGGGTGGGATGGAGTGGAGTGGAGGGCTGTGCTCCCGCGGTCGTTACAGGAGGCCCTCACAGGTGGGGCTGGAAGAATGGGCTGACAGTGATCTCCTCTGGTGATGAGCGCAGTCTGCTGCCCACCTCTTGAGAATGCCCAAGAGGACTCCAGGCCCTGGGAGTCTCCTGATTGGCCACCTTCTTAGGGAGGAGACTCAGGGTGTTGTTGGCGGAGCGCAGTGAGGCCTCACGCTCCGTTCAATGGGGTGTCTGTCTGTGTCTGTCCGTAGGACGATCATTTCTGAAAACGACAGCCAATCGAATCCAAAATTTCAGGGAATTTCTAGGCATCAGTGAAAGAACCTTCTTGATTTTGGTGACTGTTGGGAAACAACAGCAAAGCCTGGTTTCTGTCCTGTGCCCCTTCAATGGGTGTGTAAACCAAAGGGCGCTGTGACTTTACAGAGGAGGAGCAACATGACACCTCTCTCTACTGCATCCCTCCTCAGCGGCTGGGGTCACTCTCCCATCTTCTCTCCTTGCTGCAGGACCCTCAGTGCCCAGCCAGAGGAGGAGAAGGAGGGTGACGTGTCGACAGAGGATGCAGCCAGCAGGGTCCTCCAGCAGCATCTCCCGGGCAGAGACGAGGTACAAAAATTCCCCAGCTCTGCTGGTGCCAAGTCTGTCCTGCCCTTGTTCCGTCCCTACACTTTACAGCGGGCTCTGGCGCTGTTGATTTTATGTCTTTGGAGAGCGCGTCTCTGCAGGCCAGAGAAGATCCTTCCTGCAGGCAGGTGCTGCTGGCCACCCCCCCCCCGGCCCCCCCCCCCCCCCAGCCATTGAAAGTCACTGCCAGCCCATCCCCTTTGACTGACCTGGGAGCAAGAAAACAAAACCTGCGGAGCCAGGAATGAACCCCTCCCCAAGCACCATGGGGGTGGCCAGGAGCCTCTCCATCTGACCCACGGAGGCTGAGCCACAGAGGGAGGGTTGTGGCCCTGGCCACACAATCCTGGGAGGGGATCTGGGAACAGTTTCATTTTCTGATCTTTATTCTCTCCTCCTGCTAGGGGTTCTCAGTGTGAAATGAACAGGAACTAGGGATAGTGATGGGGTCCTGGCACAGACCCTGGGTGGGAGTTCCCCTTGTTCTGGATCGCATCGCACTGCTGACTCATATTTAGCTTGTGGTCCACTATAACCCCGAGATCCCTTTCTGCAGTGCTCCTTCCTAGACAGTCGCTTCCCATTCTGTACGTGTGAAACTGATTGTTCCTTCCTAAGTGGAGCACTTTGCATTTGTCTTCATTAAACTTCATCCTGTTTACCTCAGACCATTTCTCCAATTCGTCCAGATCATTTTGAATTATGACCCTATCCTCCAGAGCAGTCGCAACCCTCCCGGCAGTTATCAGCTGCTGTCTTTTACTGTGCACATCTGTGCCCAGCTGGGAAGAGTAGAAGAGTGGGCTGGGAGTTAGGGGGTGGAGTCTGGAAGGGAGGAGGGGGCAGGAGCAGGCTGGGGCGGGGAGAGGGCAGGGTCTGGGTGGATACATCCCCACAAAGAGGTGGCTCAGCTGGTGTTTGCAACTCTGTGCCAGGCTCAGCTGCTAGTCCCAGCAGAACTGGGAAGGATAGGACTTCCTTTTCCCCTGCAAGGAGGGCTGGCCCATCCCCAGGTGTGGAACGTTCCATCCCTCCTTCCCCTTTCCAGACATCCAAGGTGTTTCTGGGGCAGACCCAACGCTTAAGTTGTGTCAGGCTTGGGTTCAGTGTCATTGCCAAGTCTGTCCCAGGGGAGCTGCAGCATGATCTCAGACCTCCATGCAGCCAGTTGCCTGTGCTTCCATCTTCCAGACGGGTGCCTCCGCATTTATTTATTGACATAAAATATGCAACATTTTAAAATATTGTGCATGGAATATTGGAGGGCAGGGGTTGGCACAGAATTCCCTAAGGAGTAATAACACAGATTCTGGCCTGGTCGCAGCAAAGGGAACTTCCATTTGGCATCTTCAGAGACAGGTGTCCCTGTAGGCAGTGCAACTTTCTTGGCATGGATCTCACCCATGTGCTGCCAACAGCCAGGTTTCCCTGACAGCTGGTTGACTCTTTCGCTCACGTGACACTTGGGAGCTGGGTTCCTGTGCTGTCTGACTTGTATTCCTGATTGGAAAGGGGCTGTCCTTCAAACCTTCCTCATAAAGACTTTTCTGTTTGTTTGTTTGTTTGTTTGTTTGTTTGTTTGTTTGTTTGGTGGTTTTGAGAAGGGAGAGCCTGAAAGCCAGTGAAGAAACAGAAATGTAGTTAAAATCCAGTGAAAGCTCTGTTACAAAGAGACACCTGGAATTTGCCCAGTGCTGCTTGGAGTCAGCACTGGTTTACACTATAGGGTCAAGTCCACACAAGGCAACTTAAGTTGATCTAACTGTAGATGTGTTTTCATTTTAAGTTTGGCTTCTAACATAAGTGCCCTCCTGCACCAAATTAATAACACCTCTCCTCAAGAACTGTAGAATCACAATTGGTGCAATTTGGTTGATACAGTGAGAGCGTAGACTTTACTTTAGGGTTGCCAGATACTTGCACAAAAAAAACCAAATATGGTGGGAAAAAAATTGGTTGAGCAAAAAATAGGACCAAAGTTACTGAGAAAAAAAAAAACACAGAAAAAAAATGAGTTACTGTGCCTTTAAATCCCACACTCCCCGCTCTCCCCCGCCAGATGCATCAGGGGAGGAACGTCCTAAGCAGCCATCCATCTAAGAAAAACAGAAAATACTGGACATTTTACATGTCCGGTATTTTCTCTTTTTTTTTTTTACCGGACAGAGCCTGCAAATACCAGGCCAATACCGGACACTTGGCAACCGTACTTTACTTCCACTGATTGTTAACCGTCTCCATCTTAGGTCACCAGCTCTCCAGGATTGGCTTCAGGTCTCCAGGCATTAAAGACTAATTAAAGATTATGTCGTGTGATGAAACCTCTGGGAATATGTCCAACCAGAATTAGCAAACTACCTCCAGCAGCTGTCCAACAATGTCCCACTGACTGCTTAGGTCACCACTGAAAACTCCACTGCCCAAAGGGTCAGGTAGACAAGAAGCCTCATCTCCCATTGAAAGCCTCACACATTTTTTAAATTCTTGGTCTTAGTTGCCTGGCTTGGCAAACCCACCCAGCAGCTCTTCAATACCCAGCTGACTGTGCCAGCTACAGGCTCCTGCCTGGAGTAAACAGTAGTAATTGGATCTACTCTACCTGTTGGGAGAAGAGGCTGTGCAGGCATAGCTCTGATCCAGCTGTAGAGACAGACTTCTACAAACAGACTGCATGGGGGATGCAGAAAAAAGACAGGGACCAGCAGCAGTGCCACATGAAAGCCCTGGAGTTATGGCAGGCCTATCAGAAGGCTAGGGAAGTCCACAATAGATCTGGTGCAGAGCTGCAAACCTGCCATTTTTACAAAGAGCTGCATGACATCCACAGCAGAGACACCCCCACCTCTTCCAATACCACCATATACACTTCAGAAGAGTCTGAGGACAGGCAAGGGGGCGACCCAGCTCCACAGCAAGCCAAGATCTGTTTTTGACTCCACCACAGTCCCACCAATCAAGCATGGGCAGACCTGATGGAGGGGGGCAGGAATCTCTGGTACATATGCAGTTTGCTTTGAAATTAAGCGATGGCACTCCCAAAGTAGCAGAACGCATCTTTTGATTTACTCATTTTCACTTGTGTTAGAAGAGATAGTGGAACAACCAAGAGAGTTGCTATCTGCCTTTCATGACCCTCTAGAAATAGGCGGGGTAGCCACGAAGAGCAGTTTGTTTATGTGAACCAGGTTGGCGTGGGAATCCTCTGTAGAGATCTTGATGAAACTTTCATGCAAGTACTCTGCAATCCTCTGCCAAAGGTTTCTGAGAAGGGTTGCCATATTTCTTCTACCCTAGTAGGACACTTCCCCACACTACTTAGTGATTAATTCAGCTGGCATCATTGCAGGATATAGCAGCATATAGGCCGGGGCGGCATCAGGTAGCATTACACTCAGGAAATAAAGGAAATAAAAATAGCTGACAAGAAAATTCCTCCTCTCTTTTGCTGTTCTTGGGGCCAGAGTTAAAAAACTGAAGCAGAGCTCCCAAGGGTCAACCTAAGGTAGCCATAAAAGCCATTCAGAGCTGACAGATTACAACAATCTTGTCATCTTTTGAAAGCATAGACCATAGCTCATTTGTTAGGTACGCTTGCCTGCTTTAACCTTGTGATTAAGTAAAAAAAATAAGTTGGTTGATAAATCCTTAGATAGTTTACTACAGAATTGACCACAAGTGTCTTCAGTGTGAGAGCTAAGAGGCAAATTGATCTAGGGTAAGTGATTAGTATTCAGGTTTCTCCCAGTCCCGAATAGGCCATTGATCACTTACTCCACTCTGCCTCAGTGGCAAGATGGACTGGAGTGTACACAGGGCCATTCCGTGACTCCGTGGTAAGATTTTTACAGTGCCTATGGAATTCCCACCTGTTACTCAGTTGATGGTGTCTAATTATACACACAACTAATTTGAGGTCTCTGCCCTGCTTCTTGACAGTCTGCCCTGAGGCTGGAGCTCATGGTTGTGAAACATTCTAGACAGTGTAACACTCAGCAAGTTGTATAAATAGCTCATGTTGTTCTTTCCGATGTGGATTACAATGCTATAATTGACACTGAATTTTATCTGCATTGTCTATTCAAACTTTGTGGTTCTTCACGCTCTTCTCCAGTCTTGACTTTTTGTGTCACTTGCAAATTATGTCACCTCACAGCTCCCCTGCTTTTCCACATCACTACTAAATATTGTTATGGCAGATATCACCAGATGTCCCTTTAAGATAGTCTTCCAAGTGTTTTTTCTTAGCTTGTGAACAAATTTTGTTTCACTGGAAGATATGCCCAGTTAGGTTTTGATTATGCAAGATTGCTGGCAGAGGTGCAGTCTGTAGAAGAGTTTGCTATCTGACTTGTGCTCTGATAGGAGTCAATTCTTGAGGCAGAGTTGCTGTCTGGAAACCAGACATTACTGCTGGACTCAGATTCCTGGAAGAAGGGATGGCGTATTTTCAGCACTGCTGTGTATATATTCAAATAAGGAAAGTTGCACTTAGATTATATCCGCACTTGCCAGCACTGATTTCTCCATTAGTCAGACACACATAAGGCTCTAGATCCAAATGGCCCCAGGCCCAATCTACTATTGCATGGAAGTAGAGTAACACTAAGGTCAGAACAGGACTTTAGCATCAGAAACAGAAGTAACAATATTTTAAGCAATGTCAATTCTAGTACAGAGCTCTGTGCCACTGATAACCTTTTATCATGATGAAAGTTTACCATTTATTACCGCTCTTTGGTTTCTGTGCCATGTTTTTCTGATCCATGGCAATACTTTGCATTTCATTCCAGGACTAGCGTTATAGTCTGTTAGGGTGACCTTTTGGAACTTTAAACTATGTCATCTACCGGTAATTATCCTTTTATCCACTAGTTTACATATTTGAAAAAATTCTAATATATCAGTGAAGTACAAGTTTCTGTAACTGAAACCATGCTAGTTGGAACCTCTTAAAGTGTGATTTCCTAGGTGTTTTTCAATTCTATTTTTATTATTATTTTGACCAAAGTGCCAAGTTCAGAGACCAAGTCTTACTTGTTTCTAACTCCCTGAATAACTCTCTAGAACATTTTTAACTATCATGACTGGAAATAAAAAAGGGCCAAGATAGAACAGGAATTTGTAAAACGTGACGGGATAACTGTTGATGGCCTAGAAGAGTATCAGCATAAAAACTATATAGAAAAAGTAGATGAAGTGGGGGAATAGCACTAGATTGAAAAGATTTCATGAATTCTGATGTATTTGGATTTCTGATTTTAAACATCTATGCATAGAAACAAATCCAGTCATAAGAATATAATTACAATACTTGGGTGTAATACAAGATTCCAGATCAAATGTATTTACTTTACATATCAAGAGTTGATTTTGCTAGATGCTGACATCACTGAAACTCCATCCAAGAGTTTATCTAAATCCTTTATGTCTTGCAACATCACTGAGAATCAGGATTTTGCAACTGAAATTAAGTAACAGTTTTTTAATGACATTGAAAGATAAGAGCGATTTCCAGCTGGCTTCCCTACAGCTACCTTCACACTGCTAAGACAACAGTGAAATCCTTGCCTGACTGAAGTCAATGAGTATTGAGCAACTTATGTTAATTGAGCAAAAATGTCACCCAGCAGGAGTAAAAAAACGTTGTATCTGAGAAGCAAACAGGTGTGACTCAAAGACACATAAGGAGCAAATACACATAGACTATGTCTACACTGCAGAGCTTTTGCACAAAAATGGCTGTTTTTGCACAAAAATTTGTGAAGCGTCCATACTACAAGCACGTTCTTGTGCAAGAAAAAGTACAGTAAATCGTAAGAACACAGGGCTTTTGGTGCAAGAGTTATTCCTCTTTCTATGAGGAAGAAGCCTTTTTGCGCAAGAGCTCTTGAGCAAAAAGGCATGTGTGGACGAGCAACGGGGTTTCTTGCGCTAAAATGGCCATCAGAGCTTTCTTGCACAAGAGAGCATCCACACTGCCATGGACACTCTTGCACAAAAGCACATCCCTTGCGCAAAAGCACATGGCAGTGTAGACGTGCTCTTGTGCAAGAACTTTTCGCATAAGAACTCTTGCGCAAAAAGTTCTGGCTCAAGAAATCTTCAGATAGGGACTTTTCTATTTCCCTATTTTAGGAATCCCTTTTTTGATTACTGTACATAGTGATGTTGGCATACTGTGGAAGGTGCTGTACCTAGAGCCAGAGTTTTGCAAAACACTTTGCTATTTGGCTCTTCTATTTGAAAGGCAGTGGAAACTACTAACTGCTCAGATCAGAACTCTTATTTAGATGCTTAAACATGAACATGACAGCCTAAATTTAGTAACCCATTTTTGAGAAACTTGTCTTGGTCTTCTTTGAAGAGGGCTCAGGGTTCCAAACAGCACAAAGCTGCAACAACTATACATTAGTGGATAATGTTACATTTCTCTTTTATTGGACCAGTACTTCTATGATCAAGATTTAAGTCTTTGTCTGTACATGGAAGTGATCTGAAATAAACTAGGATGGGAATATAACCTGCAATAGCTATTTTGCAGTATTATGTAGGTAATTTTATTGTGCCTTTTTGCAGTTTAGTTTAGTCCACTTCCAAAGCTTAATTCAACAATATCAATTCAGGTCTTTTTCCCATTTAAACAAGTCCTTAGATCCACCCACAGAACATTGCTCAATTTAGGCTGTGGTGAATGATGAGGGGGTGGGGGAGGGCGAGGTAACACCATTTTCTGCATGTTCCAACCTAATCCAAATTGCCTTGCCTTTAACTGTTAAAATCATAGACAGGGAGTCCTAGATAGTCCCCAGGAATTCTTAGTGAAGCAGGAAAGAAGTTGGCAGGAAGTCAGAAGGGCCAATGAAAACAGAGTATAGGCTTTTGAATTGGAAGTAGTAGCCCTTCCTATTCGCGTGTGATCAGAGCAGAGCCCCTGGAAGGACCTGTAAGGAGGTAGGGAGTCAGGCATGGAGAATCCAGTGACATTCATGCCTAGGGAAAAACTAAGTCTTGAAACTACAGGTACATGAATAGAACAGTTCTTTCTTAGGAGCAAAATGTTATGGAAATAAACCTATTGTAGAGCTGTAGGCTGCAGACCCTCAGATGGCCTCCTCAATTCTTTCTGGTTTCAATCATGGGCTGACTATTCCACATGTTCATCGGTGAAATATTAGTATTGTTCTAGATCAACAAGCATGGAATGTTTGGTTCCAGCCATTGTGTTAGGAAACAATGATCTAAGGGAGTGACTAAATTTTTACAGTGCCCTTCCACTTGACCCATAGGGACATTTATTGACGGACAAGTTAAATTGCAGACAACAAGATTATCAAAAATCATCTCTGAAGGAGTCAGTCCTAGGTTTGCTGCTTGGACGGTGACATTATTCTGCATCCTTTGTCACAAGGAGCAATGCAGTGTATTTTTTATTTTGTTTCAGTGCAGCAATGGAGAGAGATTCAAGAGCTACATGGCTTAATTCTCCTCCAATAAGAAACAGACATTTTAAAGTCCCAACCTCTACCTAGGACTGCTGAGAAGATGGGACAACAATATGAGGCATCTCTAGAACCTATAATTTGCTCCCATTCCAGTGCACAAAAGAACACATGTCTATAGCAATATCTTGCACAGATATTGCAACATAGCTATCATAATCCCAGACAGGGAAAGAAGACAGGTAGAGTCAGGACTAGAACCCCAGTTTTCTAGGCCCAAAGCTATTCTTGAACCACAGAAGACACAGGATGAATGCTAAGTAGCCATGAATTTGTACATCAGGGTCTGTAACATATGAATGCATCCCATTTCACTCAAGAAAGCAGCACAGCTACACAACGAATATCTGAGGCTGTGTCTAAACTACATGGCTCCATCAATGGAGCCATGCAGATTAGGCTGATCGGCAAAGGGAAATGAAGCCATGATTTAAATAATCGCGGCGTCATTTAAATTTACATGGCTGCCGCGCTGAGCCGACAAACAGCTGATCAGCTGTTTGTCGGCTCAGCGTGGCAGCCATGTACATTTAAATGAAGCCGCGATCATTTAAATCGCAGCTTCATTTCCCTTTGCTGAACAAACAAATCTACATGGCTCCGTTGACGGAGCCATGTAATTTAGACGTGCCCTGAGAGATAGAGATACTGCACTGGCAGCTCCTTGTACTAGAAAAAGCCAACCTATATATATATAACTACTTGGGTAAGGCTGCCTGCTATTGGCATCTGTTTCAATATGGCCATGTTGAAACACCCATTTCTATGACTTTGCTCTTTCACAATCACTTTTCTCAGTGTACTCCCACACAGAAGGAGGGAATTGGGGAGGGGAAAAAATCGGTTACCATTCAAGCTTCTGCAGGTAGAAGAGGGAGGGTATGTCTACACTACCCTCCTAGTTCGAACTAGGAGGGTAATGTATGCATACCGCACTTGCTAATGAAGCCCGGGATTTGAATTTCCCGGGCTTCATTAGCATAAGCGGGGAGCCGCCATTTTTAAATCCCCGCTGCTTCGAACCCCGTGTAGCGCGGCTACACGGGGCTCGAACTAGGTAGTTCGGACT